TATGCGCGCGCGCGCGCGCGTGTGTGTGTGTGTGTGTGTGTGTGTGTGTGTGTGTGTGGGTGGTGTGTATGCGTATGCATATATTAATGCTTATATTAAAGTTTTAAAATTATATCAATATTTAGATTAAAAATTATTTACACATATTGAGATTATATGAAATTTTTTTGTAAAAACAAGAGAAAGATAATATTTAACTTTTGAAATAATTTAAATTTGCAAAAACATTGCAAAAAATATATAAAAGCTTATTTCAAAAAAGTAATTGTCAAATTTGAAAAATGTTATATTATTTATAAAATATATATTATATTTATATATTGTATAGTGGGAATCATGTTGTTGTAGAATCGATTTACTCATAAAATGTAACATTTCTATTATTTATCAAAAAATGACGATTTTATTGAATTTGTCTCTTCTTATTCTAATTATTACATTTAATACAAAGAGTTTTGAGATTATTCTTGATAAAAATCATATTAAACAACACATTTTTAAAAAAATTGTAATCTTGAATCAAAATAAACATTAATCGTCATTATACTGTACAAATATAAATTATATTGTATAAATTTATGATATTCATAACACATTGCAAATAAGAGAAGTTTATTAAATCTGTAATAATTGTTATATTCAACGAATATTGTAATATTGAATATTGTAATATTCTATAAATCTGGCATTTATTTATTCTTTTTTTAAATTTTATGAAATTTCAAATATTTTTCAAATATTTTTATGTAAAAAACCTTAAAATCTGCAGAGAATATTTAATAAATTTTATGTCTCTAAAATATCCAATTGAATATAAATATTAGAATTCAAAATGTCATTAAGAACAAGTGCGCTATTATTGAGATATTCAACATATAAATACACAGATTAATCACAGATTAATAATTTACATTAGCAGAAATATCTTTTGAAAATTATTTTTACCATTGAAAATTATTTTTAACAAATTATTACATAATACAAATTCAGCTGTACAAAGAATAAAAACAACATAAATAGTTTGCAACTATGTGCTTAAGAAATTCAATACAATTATACATAAAAATCTATCAATTTTTATCCACTTTTATCTAACTAACTATTTGATTAGTATTCGTTTTAGGAATATCATTATGAATTTTACTGCGTTCATATTCATCTATTAAGTTATCTTGATACGTGATATTTTGTGTGACTTCAATCTGATCTAACTTATTGTCTGGAAAGTAAGGCTCACTTTGCGCTCGGAAAAGTGAGACAGACAAATGTTCATCTGCAAGTATATTCGTGCAACAATCATTTTCCGAAAGACTCAAACAATGTGGCATTACTAATAGTTTGGTTTTAAAATTTTCACAGCTGTCATTATTCAATCCATCATTGCTTTTATATGTGCGTTGATACCGCAAACTGTTGAATTTATTGTTATCATAAGAATGTAAACTCGAAACATGATTGATTGAATCATTCGATATACTTGAGTCATCTTCGAGCATTCTGTCCAAGTTCTTGTCACTCAAACTAATGTTTCTTAGCGTCCGTTGCATTTGACTTACTTGTGCATCAATCACCTCCCAGCAACGTTGCATAAGATTCGGTTCTTCAAAAAGACGAGATTGACTCAGAAGTAAGCAAGCATTCTTTGCCGTAAGACTCGTTTCTAAATAATTGACGCATGCTCGTGCCAAATGTGGAACTATATATTTTTTCGCAACGTACAATGTTGCCAGAACTGTATCTGCTTCTAGTTGCACTTCATCACAATACATATATCTAAAAAAATGTTGTATGTTATAATTATATAAATCATATAATATTTTTTTCTTTCTAATAATATTTATTATTAGCTATTTTGTATCTTCGTTTTAGTTCTTTTTTTCATGGTACATAATGTAATAGATTCTTTTCCAGCATAATTCTAATTTTGAATAATATATTTTATAAGTTGATGTCTTTAAATTATTTTATATTTCTTTATATTTACCTTAACAGTGCGAGAAAAGCTGCTGGTTCAACATCAGGCACTTCTATATCTTTTTATTTTCTGGTAATCCTCCATAAAACATAGCATAAAATACAGAACTGCCAGTAGCAAGAACATATTTATGTGCTGGTATTGTTTGTGTATGACCTATTAATATGAGATAAATATTAATGAGAGGTTTTTTAAATAAGAGAGATAGCTAAAGAAAAAGATCTAAGGGAATTTTGAAAAATACCTGGGCTACCAACAATAAATATAATATCGGCCATAAGATGATTATTAAACATGGCTGCGTTTCGTTCTCGAACTGTAGGTTTTGTTGCTTGCCAATTGGGATCTTGGGTGCAGTCTCCGGGTGATGGTAAATTGAACTGGGTCACGGGTGATGATAAGGAAGACAAAGGTGATGCAGGTGCACTCAATGGCTGATTCACTGTAGTTCCTTCACGTTGTAGTACAATAGACGAAGAAAGTGGACTTACTGATGGTGGTGAATCTGATGTATTACTAGGAGATTCCGCTAAAATAAAGAATCTCTTTACGTCAAATATATTAAATTATTAAAATTTAGCAACATTAATAAAACAGATAATGTATAATTCAAATTATATCATCATAATATTTGCAATGAATAGCAAAATTGACTTCGATTTATATGGAGATTTTTCTTAATAAACACACACACACACACACACACACACACACACACACACACAC